TGTCCAAAAACAATTGAAGATTTAGTTACAAAAATCAAATAGTATAGATATATGAAGACATGGTAGTGATTATACCTCGTTTAGCTGTAAGTTGAGCCCTTGGAGATAAGGATTTCGATGAGCATCCATCATACGTCTGTTAGCTGAAGGAGGTTGTTCTATCAGGCCATTGAATCGATTGATCAACTTTTCCACAGAAGGACTGCCAAAAGAGAACACTTTCTTGGCAGGTGAAAAAATAATCACTGCAACTTCAGCGCCACAGAGCGTGCTAATTTCACTCGCCTTCTTGAAAATGCCAGCCCGGCGTTTGGCAAAGGTAACTTGGAGATTCGTCGCCTTCTTGATCTTCACCATTTCAATCTTTTGGCGGCCCTTTGACTTCCTATGAGGCTCCATGGATAAACTTAACATGAATATAAAGATTAATTTGTGATTTGACTGATTGAACAAAGATAAAGTAAAATAAAGTATATTTATAGACTACTCAATTTGACGGTTACAATTTTTAAGTATTCCTGCATCTAAGTTAATTGTGTCTTAATTACTTACTCCTTTAGGATTTTGTAATAATAGAGAGAATATAATTTAACTAATTTAGATTAGTATAAATAAATGCACCTGCATTTTTTAGAATCTTTCTTAAATAGTCTTACATAGAGCTTCTGAGATATTTTTTTTATTTGACTAAAAATAATTGATTGAATTATCTTTTTTAATGAATATTGACTTAAATAAAATCTCTCACATCATTCAAATTTTATTATGTGCTTGGTATATAAACAGCAAAATGCTTATAAATTTTAACATGTACATGTAATTTATTATTCCTAATTGTGATGAGTATACTTTATTTTTCTTTCAGATAATAGAATTTAAAAATAGATCCATCTTTAATTTACAAAGTTTTGTATGTTGAATATTATATATGTAAATAACCTATTATAATTCGTTTTGAAAATATAATAGATCTTGACGAATTAAATAGTTTATAACCTCTTTCACATAATTTATTATATTGAATATTAAAATTTAAAAATAATATATTTAAAAAAATAATCGAGCTTTCAATCTATTGTATTTTGGATAGATTATAATTTTTTTAAAAAATATATATATATATATATATTATAAATTATATAATTTATAATATCTATCGTATAATTTATTATTTTTAACCGTGATAAGAATACTATATTATTCTTTTGAATATCTATATTGAAAATAATATATATGAGAATGACAGATATAATTTTTCTTAATAAATTATTTACATATTTTTTAATAATAACTTAAGTATTCTCATTTTAACATTTGGATATTGAGACTAAATGTCAATTGATTATTTTACATTGTATTAGTGAATCCAGAATTTTTAATACAATCACAAAATCCAAACTTATATTAAAGATTTTAAAAAATATATAATTTGAATTTGATTTAGAGCTATAACTCTTTTTTGAATTCAGATATGTGGTATTTGTATTGTAATTTAAATTAAATCGAGTTAAAATTAAATATATATATATACATATATTAAGACAAACTCTTAAGCATACTAACGAATTAAATATATACCACAGATTTATATATTTT